CTGTTGCTGAGGCTGGCTTTGGACTACCAATCCTCCTGTCTCAGCCTCCTCAACCACTAGGTTTACAGGTGTGTGCCACCGCTACTGGCCAACCTTTCAACCAACCTTTAACAACCTCTTTCAACCAACCTTTAACATAAATATCTGATATTTAATACAAATACATAGCATTTGCTTATTATTTTACATGAGCAAATGCTTAGTTTCCAATTAAAAAAAATTATACAGTGTGCCTTATTTACTTCACAGGCAAAATGAGAGCTCTTGGAAAAAGTTATCTCTATAGGTGAGTCCTATGCTTACATGGTAACAGAAGACTAAAATATTCACAAGTGATATATGAAAATTGACTATTTGCCTAAAGTCATTTATAATAAATGTTGTTTAAATATATAAAATTAGTATAAAACTATTTTATTGGTATTTCTTCTTTAAAAACATGTCATTTTTTAACTAATGTGCATGAGTCAGAAAAAAACAGAGAAATGTATTTGTAAATGTATTGTGTGCACCATGCTTTGTTGTTGTTTGGGAAATGTTAAGAGGTCTTGGAAAACAGACCACAGGGCCACTATTTTCATTTCTGACTGCAAGACTAAAATCAATTTTGAAATTGATTCATGTCAAAGTGATTTCCTTGCTAACATGTGAAGCTTAAAATTAGCATTGACACTTATCAAAATCATTATAATCTTAAAATTGAGTACTTGAAAAGTTTTACTGAATTTGTGTTCTTAGAGCATGCACATTCAATAATTTTTAGGTCAAACTATCTAGTCCATTTTAATAACTGAGATCTGACCAAGAAATTCAATGATTGGCCCAAATGATTCCTGGAGTTGTGCAAAGTATCCAAATGTGATCATTAATTTGATAACCAAATCCACATTTGTTCCCAAATTTACAAAAACGGTAATTAAACAGTAGTGACACTGCTTTGGACTAACTTCCTTTCCATTCCTATATAAGCCTTATATGGAACTATCAGGTATTAAATATAAAGACAAAAATAAAATCTGATCAACAATGTTTTTCAGTTATGGTGTCCTGTAGTATAGATGTTAATGTGATTTTTCATTTTTCTGGATTACCTTACATACCACAAGGAGATGATGGTGAAATCTGACCCATGCTTTCTTATTCTGGTGTTACTTCCATTTTTTGTAAATCCCACTCCTCCATTTCCAGCAACACAGAATTATTTGCCAAACAAGCATATTTCCATTATAGATCTAAAGCTGCTTACCTATATTATAAAGGAAATTATTAAATATTTCATTTCTCTTAGTACACGCTGTGAGACTTAAGGAGACTCTGCAACCTCACCTACGATTTTGGAAGGATACTTTTATGAAAGAAAGGAGCACGGAGCATGAGGGGCTGGGATTGTGCCTCAGTGGTAGAGTGCTTGCCTAGCACAGGGGAGGCACTGAGTACAATCCTCAGCACCACATAAAAAATAAATAAATAAAATAAAGTCATAAAAACATATATATTAAAAAAAGAAAGAAAGGAGCATGAAGCAGTAAGTAGACACTATCAACAAACTGTATTTTTAAATGATCTAACTTAGAAATCACCTAAGCCTATGTAACACACTATTTTCTGGAACCTGAAATACACTTAATAATTTGGATTGTGCCTGGTACAGGCCTCATTCACGCAGGTTACATAAACCATTTACTAGTCCTTCTGATTGGTTGGGTGTGATTCTGTTTTTATGCTGACAGTGTTGACATTGAAGTGCTTTGCCCATGTTAATTGATAAAACTGAAATCTTCCCAGGATTCTAATCCCTTTTGGAAAATGAAGTAGTGACATACCAAATTAATTATAATGTATTGGCTAGATATTAAATATTTTAACACATAGTTTAAGTGTGTGGTACTTTATTTGCTTCATTGCTAACACTAAATCTAATAGACTAAGATTAATATTATGAAAATAAACTATTACATGTCAAAAATATTTAAATGAATGGTAAAGAGAGTTAGTGGTCTCATGTGAATTATAATAACAATAATAGGAAAGCTGTAACAGCTTTATGATGATTTCTCCTCTCAACAAATGCCGAAAGAAAAAATGGTGTTTGGAATGACAATGCTGATTTAAAAGCGTACATAATGAAAATATTTTAATTGAAGAAATTGCCTAGGGTAAAAAAAAAATACCAGTAACTGTGGAATTTTTTCTTATCAGAGAAAAGCCACATAAAAGTTTTCTTTTCAAATAAAGCAAATGCTTCAAATAAAGCATAAAAATATTTGTACATGTATAAATCTTATTAAATTTAAAATAAATTACCCTGATATTAAATCTGATTATGTTTAGGTTGCTGGAATGTGTAATTTTTTTTGTACTTATTAGATATATTACCAAGATAAGGAAATGACTATAGTGAAATATGGTCTGCACGTGAAGTTTAAAAACTCACTCTATTATGCCAAAATATGTATTTAATTCTCCCCACTATTCACAGCCTGAACATATAACTCCAAGCTTTTCTTTATGTGGTTAGCCTTACCAATACATTAATTTTTTTAAATTTATTGTCATGTTCACTACAAACATAAATTAAAAAAGGAAATAAACCATTGTGAGAATAAAAACAAAATAGAGATCGCCATTAAAAACCTACATTTAAATGTTAAAAATATCTGCACCCTAGGAAAACAAATGGGTTTGGCTTGCCATCTCTTACTGAGCAGCCTGACATGGTTTTCATTTGCCTTGTTTCATCCTTCATTTGGATGGGAGCCTCTTAACTGTTGTTTTCTTTCATGCTTCTCTCTCTCTCTCTCACCACCATTCCAGCACAGGCAGGCGCGCGCACATACACACATACACACACACACACACACACACACACACACACACACACACACACACGATATTCTCTCCCTCCCTCCCCACCCCCTTCTTCAGTACCCTCTGCAGTAAAAGCTACCACAGTTGTCTTGTTTTGATAAAACCAGCAGACGTCTGCCAGTGGCTGATAGGAAATGCTGATTGAGAAAGGGTTTATCTACTTTTCATCCAAAATATGTGAACCATTAAGGAAATTATAAAAAGTAGCAACAATATACTCTGGTTTATTCAGAACCTTTCCCTTAGCGATTATTAAAAGGATGATATTTTTAGCCAAAGAAAGCAAAATGCATCTGCAGCAGCTGGTTTCCAAGGAAACAGAATAATTTAAAACCATGTGGAACTCTGCTCCCTAATTTTCATCAATTCCCCTTCATTCCTAGAGGTAGTTTTGCTCAGAATTGATAATTTCTAAAACATGTAGCTGCATTGACTTATTTTCTGCAACACATTTTAGGAGGTGAATATCTGGTCTTATATATTACCTAAATTCCAATCTATGAAGAGAGAATTAATTTCAACCAATATTTACTTGAAAAACTAAAATCAGAAAAATCCTTCAATAATTAGAAACACAGCAAAATTTCAGTATTATGTCAGATTTTTTTAAATCCAGAAATGGTTGAAAAAAAATCATGCAAGAGTATTTGCTTGTGTCAGCATGACATGTACGCATGTAAACATATTGTTAACTAGATTTGGAACATAGAAAGTTTAAGATACTTCTTCAATCATTTGCATAACATTTACCAAATAGTCAGGTGTTTTTAACCCCCACCAATTTTAATTTTGCAAGAACCATTATTTTGTGTCTTTATTCAAAGACATCTATTTTTTAAACAAGAACAAAAAAACAAAAATAAGACCGACAAATTCCTAGAAGTTATATAGTCACTCCTATTAGGTATAATTCATTCAAATAAAATACTAAAAAGCATGATCAATTACGTCCATTGTGACAATACTTTCATTTTATTATAATCAACAGGTATTAATTGGTTGCTAATGTGACTGATTCTGCAATATTTCTTAAAAGCTCAATTTTAACGAAGACCCTCACTCTTAAATAATCTATACTTGTGAATTTAAATACATGAAGGATTAAATGACACAGAATAAAACTATTTTTCATTTCCTTTTATCATAACTATGTCATATATTCTACATATTTAGAAATTTTCCCTATCTTCCCTAAGGGAAAATAAAAGACAAGATTAGGAGATATAAACAACTAGTAAAGTAAAATCCTAACTCAGAGATATTTTAAAATATTGCCTTAGAAGTATTTCCAGCAATATAAATGTTGTGATGGAATTCTTATGTAGATGTATCTAATCAATAAATGAAACTTGCCTGTTAAGATGCTATTTTTTAAAGCATTGTTTAATATTTCACAATAAGGTTTCTGAGCTTTTAAAATAAAAACAGCCCAATATATATCTATTAACTATAGTTATGAATTATCATGTAAGCATAAGATTTAGTAAATAAAATGATACAACTATTCAACAGCATGAAATTTATCAACAGGAGTAAATTAAGTAAAAGGCTGAAATGTGCACAAATCATTCATTCTCAATTAGTGTAAGAATCTACAACCTGCAAGAGTAATTCTCCTAAGTCATTTAGTATATTATAAAGATTAAAAGACACTGAATTTTCTATTTCATATTGAGAGAAGTCTCCATTTTTCTCAGGACCTGTGGAATTTACCAAGGTTTTCTCATTCTTTCTTTGATTCCCAGTAGCACAAGCTTGAATAAAAACAAAAACAAACAAACAAAAAAGACACATGATGACTCATTTTATCTATTAGTTTCGCTTCAATAACACTTGCTTAGAAAGTTACCCAGGACAAGAAATTCCTCTGGTGCTTCTTTCTTTCTTTCTTTTTTTCTTTTTTCTTTCTTTTTTCCTTTTTATTTTTTTAAACCAGCTAAGGGTTTTGCAGAGAGAAAGAACAGCTCACTGCAAGGCTTTCTCAAGAAATAAAAGGGACACACTTTGGGAAAATATCTACAGATTAATTTCCATAGAACAAAATTCTTTCAATAAGAATTGAGAGGCATTCTATTTCCAAGAAAAAAAAGAATTTTGTTTTCTTTTTTTCTTTTAAAAATTTTTGCCCTTACCTGTAAATATGGTTTCTGTACTTCGGCTCCGTCAGAACACACTGAAGAGAGTTCACTCCTCCCTCTTCTATCCATCAGGCGGCAGCCAACCAATGACAAAAGCCAGATCCTGGCATTCTCTAGCTCATGCTCCCTGCTTGCTTCCATTCCTTGTTCCCTCCCACCTCCATTCTTTTAGAGGACAAATCCCTGCAGCTGAGAGCGGAAGGCAAAAGAAAAAAAAAAAAGAAAAAAATATGGAGAAAAAGCAAGGATGAAAGATATTTCGAAGAATAGCTGCAAGCTATGGAAAATGTCCGCAGGTGACCTCAGCTGAAGTAAAATAGCCCATTTTGGAATTAGGAAAATAGAGGTGATGCCTCACCCACTTGGAAAGCAGAACACCCATGGGTCAAACCTAACCTCAATAAATTGCGGATTTTTTTCATCTCCCATTGATTTCTTTCTCAGTGGAAACATTTGCCTTCTTATTGTACATTTAGATATGTAGATAGAGAAGGGAGGCTGGACATTAATATAATATTTGCAAAGAGGTAAAATTAAAAGGAATCAAGGCATAGATGCCCTGTGCTCTTTGCCCTGCAATCTCTGGCAAATTTCCATTCAAAATGAGTTTTAGGGACTAATCATGGTAAAAAAAAAAAAAAAAAACATATATATATATATATATATATATATATATATACATTTTCATCCTGAATATTAGACTATTCAAATATTTCATAATTATGTGGTTTGTATTCCTTCAGATTCCTTAAATGCCACAATCAATTTGTGAATAATAAAGTTTGTTAAAGATTAAGAGGAGATCAGTCACTTGGTTGCCATGTCTCAAAGTGACTAATTGAACTCTGATTTTAGTCTAATAACTCTGGGGAAAAAATAATTTCACTTCTGAGCTAAGAAGCACAACACGAATAGAAGGACAATTGAGGGAGACTATCAAATTAAATTCTTTAAATCTGCATAGCAAATGCATCTGCAGCTTCAAGAGGCTATTTAAAAAAAACTATAAAACAAATCAGGGTTTTTTTATGAGAAAAATGTTATTAATTGAGCTTCCTATGGAAGAGTGGTCTGAAAAAGTTCCCTTGGAGAGATACAAATTAGTGGATTTATATCTGTATCAATTTATATTATCTCTACCATAGAATTATGCACCCAGATGGCAAGCAAGTATTTATTTTTAAGAGTAACTAGCATAAAGGAAAATCATCCATAGTACAGGAATAACTGTACAGAAAGGCTTACAAGTGGCAGTTTTGTTAAGAGGGGAGTGCCTAGTGACTTAACCTGAAAATGACTTTAGATAGAAATTCCCTGGCGTGGGGTAAGGCTCAGCGGTGTAGCACTTGCCTAGCACGAGTGAGATCACAGGTTTGATCCCTGGTGAAGGATATGGAAAATAAGTCCAAGGACATTTCCTTAAGCTTTTGTCATTGAAAAGCCCAGGCCTCAGCCAGAGAGAAGGAACACAAAAGGAACTGGCACCTGACTGCCACCTGACTCCCTACCCTAATGGGTCAGCTGACCCCAATTCAATAAGCCCCAGGAAAGTCCCCATTCACGTTCATGTCCCCGCCCCCAACCAGGTCAGCGGGACCCCAAATACAAAGAACCCAGGAACTACCCTCCTGCCAGACCCTAAACAAAGCCTATATAACCCAGACCCTAGCTCAGCCCACCAACATTTTCCCCCCCTCCGAAAATGAGCTGTGCCAGATGTTCGACCTATTGACTCCGCAGCTGAATACAGAATAAAGAAAAGCTTGCTGCTCTGAGGTTTGCTTCCCATCTCCTGCCTTCATCATGTGAGGGGTCATCTGTGCTAACATCAGCACTGCAAAAAAAAAAAAAAAAAGCTTGATTTTACGTAGTTTGCATTGTTATTGGGAGTAGTTTAGGGAAGTTTTGCCAGAGATAATTAGGAAGATTAAAACTATAACTTATTCTCACTCCCCTCAAAGCTTCTACTGGGAAGAAACTTTCAAAAACGTTCCGTTAGCATTGGCTGGAGGAATCCATAAATTAGATAGCCTTTCTTGAAGTGGGTGATAAGGGACATCTGCATCAGAATCATTGGAGGAAACAGTTTTAAAAATATAGATTCATGGGCCTCACAGCAGATTTAATAAGTCAGTATTTGTAGAATTCACGACTCAGCATTCTTAGCAAGCTCCCCAGGTGATTTTGAGGCTAACTGTCCCTACAGACTGAGACTCAAACAAATGTTTCTTTAACCAAACTCTGACCAGATTTCTTCCAGACAGATGATGGTGCCATTGACAGTTGAACCCATGGATAGGTCTGGGGTGCGGGTCTAATTTGGAAATTGGCAGGGTAATGCCAGATTTGTGGGACCCCAGTAGACCTCCAAGAGCCGAATCCGATGCAATCACACAAGAGTCTTTATTGCAAGCTCTAGCCTGGATTCACAACCATTCCCAGCACAGTGGTCCCAAGGAGTGAGTCCTGGTCCTTTGTTCAGTGAGATTTTATAGGTTTTGGGGGATACTCTATGTGTCACAACATCACACAACAAATCATTTCACACCCAGGGAAAATCAAACAACAACTCTTAACATTGATTAGCACATTCGCTGATGGGAACAAGTTGGGTAGGGGTGATTGGTTAATACAAGAGGGGGATTCCTTTGAACTGGTTGGTTTAAGCCACGAGGGGTGTACCTGCTAAACTACATAGTTTCCCAATATGTTATCGACCACCATAAACTACTGGGGGGTCATCTGGCATCCCAGGTATTTACCCTGTTTCATGCTGATTGGTGGTTGCTAGGGGGTTGCAATGGGTCCTCACCTAGCCTAACTGAGTCAGGGACACCTGGCGTAGAAGCTTTTTTCAAAAATCGAGTCATATCAGTTTCTCAATAGCAGCATCCTGGGGATGATTAAAGCAAAGAAAGTGGTGAGTACCCTAAGGGGTCAAGATGCAATGTTTATAAAGATTTTTGAACAACTCAGTAGTGGAAAACAGTGCAACTCAAAATGGACAAGAAACTTGAATAGACATGTCTTCAAATAAAACATAAAAATGGCCAATGGGTATATTTGAAAAATGGTTCAATGTCATTAGTCATCGGGGAAATACAAATCAAAACCCCCTATGAGATACCTCACACGTGTCAAGGTGGTGTTTTAGTTAGCTTTCCATCACCAGGACAAAATAGTGATTAACCAGTTTAAAAAGAGGAAATGTTTATTTCAGCTCAAAATTTCAGAGGTTTTAGTCCATGGTGGTTTGGCTTCAATTGCTTTTAGACCTTTGACACCACAATGCATGTTAGTTGGAGCTTAAGGCAAAGAAGATGCTCACCTCAAGGAGGCCAGGAAGAAAAGAGAGAGAAAGGGACTGGGGCTCAGTGGGTGGTGCACACCTGTAATCCCAGTGGCTTCCGAGGCTGAGGCAGGAGAATCAGAAGGATCATGAGTTCAAAGCCAGCCTTAACAAAAGGAGGTGCTAAGTAACTCAGTGAGACCCATCTCTAAATAAAATACAACATGGGGCTGAGGATGTGGCTCAGTGGCCAAATGCCCCTGAGTTAAATCCCTGGTGCCCCCCTCACAAAAAAGAGAGAAAGAGAGGGAGGGAGGGACTGGGATCCCAATATCACCTTCTAGGGCACACTCCCCCCCCCAAGTGACCTAACTTTCTGCCACTAAGCCCCACCTATAGAAGTTTTAGCACCACCTCTCAAATAATACCGTAGATTGGAGACCAAGGCTTCAACACATGGGCTTCAACACATTCAAAACTTTGGGGGATATTAAAGACCCATACTGAATAGATAATTATTATCAAAAAAGGCAAAATAAGTGTTAGTGAGATTGTAAAGAAACATCAATTCTTATGCATTGTTGGTGGGAAAAGAATATTGAGATTCATGAAAAACTTTAAATTAGAACTACCATATGACCACACAATCCCTCTTTTGAGCATATACACAAAGAAAGTGAAATCACTATCTTGTAGAGATGTGTGCATTCATTATCTTGTAGAGATGTGTGCATTCCTGTGTTTATTTCAGCACGATTCACAATAGCCAAGATGTGGAAACAATCTAAATGTCCATCAACATATGAATGGACAAGGAACCGATGGTACATCTGGACAATGGAATACTATACAGCCTTAAAGTGGTTGAGATCTTGCCATTTGTCACATGTATGAACCTGGACATATTATGTTAAATGAAATTAACCAGAAACAGGAAAAACATTTATTGCATGATCTTATGTGTAGAATCTTTTCAAACCCCAAAATTCAATATGTAGATATAGGGAACAAAACAGTGGTTATCAGGAATAGTCGAGGAACTGGGTGAGATTTCTACCCAGAAATCAAGGGACAGATGGAAGTCAGAAGATAAAAAGCTGCAGACATGTAGGATGGAAGTCTAGAAATCTGATGCACAACATGATGACTATGGGTAATAAAACCATACTGTATATGCTACATGATTCAAGTAGATTTTATCTTCTCTTCCTTCAAAAACAATAGCAAAAAAATGGGTTGGTGTTTGAGATGATAGTTTGAATTTTCTTCACTATGGTAACCTTCAGACTATTTGCATACCATAACATCATGTTATATACCTTAACAATATATTATATAATTTATTTTACTAAAAAAGAAAGACATTAGGGGTTGGGGTTGTGGCTCAGTGGTAAAGTGCTTGCCTAGCACATGTAATGAACTGGGTCCAATCCTGAGCACTACATAAAATAATAAATAAAACACTGGCTATTTAAAAAAGAAAGAAAGAAAGAAATTATAAGAATTAAAAATAAAGACTAATCTACCTCCTGTCTACTGAATCGAAATCTCTGGAATAGGAATTTTATTTATTTATTTATTTATTTGTTTGTTTGTTTATTTTTAATTAGCTTAGATCTTTCTTTTTTTTCTTTCTTTCTTTTTTTAAAGAGGGGAGAGAGAGAGAGAGAGAGAGAGAGAGAGAGAGAGAGAGAGAAATTTTTTTTAAATATTTATTTTTAGTTATCGGCGGACACAACATCTTTGTTTGTATGTGGTGCTGAGGATCGAACCCAGGCCACATTCATGCCAGGTGAGCGCGCTACCGCTTGAGCCACATCCCTAGCCCCTGGAACAGGTATTTAAAACTCAA